CACGCCCAAGTCGTTCCGTGATTGGTTTGATGTTGACTGTAGACTGCAGATAGTAGAAGTTGGTGGAGAGTCTCGGGCGATGATTACGGTAGGACTTCACACTTCAACACAAGACACTGCATGTACTGGGATTGGAGGATGATGTTTATTGGCGTGAGGGGTCACTCAAAGCCATTTTGGCACACCACTGTATCTGCACCATGATATCGCCGGTTTCCATGCGTAAGAAAGTGCAGAAGGAGAATAATCGAGAAGTCCGAGAAACCACGCCGTTGACCATCCGTATCCCATTTTGCCAACCAATCCACCCGGAGCCACCTGTCCACGTCTAGATGTAGGTCTCGTAAGGTACGGGTGTGATGTTCTCCGGCTTCTGCTCCTTGAGGCTGACAATGTGCTCGGCGCGGGGCTGTGCGGGCTGGCGCTTCATCTGTTGGGGCTCGCCAGTCTCCTTGGCCTTTTGTTGCTTGGCGAAGTTGAGCTTGACGCGCTTGAGGAAGTCCTCTCGTGAGCGGGAGTGGCGGACGTGCTCGATGCGGACGTTGATGCGCTTCTCCATGTATCGGTTGCCGACTTGCTTCTGGAGGATGACACCGACGGCGGACTTGGTGACGTTGTAGACGATACCGGTCTTGCCGTGGTAGACCTTGTAGGGCATACCCTTCTGGACGGCACCTGTTTTGCATAAGTCCTCCGCTTCAACCGCTTTCGCTGTGGATCTAGGGTTGCGTACCGTTGGCTACGACATCGACGATATCACCGACCTTGTACTGCTTGAGGTAGGTCGAGAGCGGGATCATTCCCTTTTTCTTGAAGTCCCTAGAGAAACTGTCGCAGCGTCAGCAATCGTCGCATGAATAGAGTGCGCCTTTGATTCAGACTGCGGTCTGGTACTGCGGTCTGGTCCTTCGGTCGCATTGGGAGAGTCGCAATCATTTCAACTTACGCATAGCGCGTACCCGCGCGGAGACCGGCTGCGTGACCCATTGTGTGTTTGAAGTTGGGCTGGTGGTTAGTAGCTGAGCTGTTGTTGATGGCGGAGTGCTTGAATTTGGCAGAAACGAGGCAGTGTGCGGTGGTCGCGCATTCGACCAATCGGGTGCTCTTGGCAAAGACCCACATGCGCACTCGCTACGCAAACACCGAATATTGACCATCTTTTTGTCGTTCTCTATCGCAGACTCAACCATCGACAACCACAATGGCGCCTCCCCGATCCTACTCCAAGACGTACAGCGTCCCCCGTCGTCCTTTCGAGTCCGCTCGTCTGTATGTGCAACCCCATGGCCACTGAGCGAGAGCGTGCTCCGCTTATGTCTGGGACACAAGTTAATGTTGGGTTAGGGATACTGAGCTCAAGCTCGTCGGCGAGTATGGTCTCCGCAACAAGCGCGAGGTCTGGCGCGTCCAGTTGACTCTGTCCAAGATCCGTCGTGCCGCTCGGTGAGTGCTCATTGTTCTCGTCTGCGCAATTGATGCGCAGGCCGCGACGTACGAATTCGCTAACATTTCGCAGTTCGCTTCTTACTCTTGACGAGAAGGACCCCAAGCGTCTCTTCGAGGGTAACGCTCTCATTCGCCGTCTCGTGCGTGTCGGTGTCCTTGACGAGTCCCGCATGAAGCTCGATTACGTCTTGGCCCTCAAGATTGAGGACTTCTTGGAGCGCCGTCTCCAGACCTGCGTCTACAAGCTCGGTCTCGCCAAGTCTATCCACCACGCTCGTGTCTTGATCCGCCAGCGCCACATCCGGTATGCATCCGCCCGCACTTGCTGAAGAAGCGCGCGACTAACAGTATCACAGTGTCGGCAAGCAGATCGTCAACGTCCCCTCCTTCATGGTCCGCCTCGACTCCCAGAAGCACATCGACTTCGCTCTGACCTCGCCATTCGGTGGCGGCCGCCCTGGCCGTGTCAGGAGGAAGAAGGCCAAGGCCGCCGAGAAGGGTGGTGACGAGGACGCCGGCGAGGAGGACGAGGAGTAGACTTGACGCCAAAAGGAATGATTCATGGACGACAGGCGTTAGGCACGATGGGATGAATCTCTTTGATAGTCATCCTGTCCTGGAAAGCACTATATCCCTTGTGGGTCTCGGCTGGTGGATGATCTACATATACTTCACGTAGACACTGCCCAAAAATTTTCAACTGCCATCGTCTGTCTTAGTTCACTTACAATGCCCGTGAGAATGTAAATGATGCTTGTCCACGTACGGTTTGTAGGATCTCACAACACCCTGCAGCCTACATTGATGCTACGTCTTATCATTTACTAGTTGTTGTCCTAGTGTAGGCTGCAGGCCTACTCAGTTCTTTCTTGTATGATGTGCCAGTCTCACCTCATTCATGGAAAATTCCGAACACTGTGGAGCCTACATCAAGATAAAAACATGCAAAGTAGGTGACCTAACGTTAATGTAGGCTCCCGACCTGTTTAGTTTTTTTCTTGTATGAGATGGTCTGACCGACGATCTTGCAACGATGTCTGCCCTGTGGCTGAGTCGTTGACAAACCCCAAGCTATTTGCATAACGTTTGATCAGCTCGCTGCAATTTGTACCAAAATATTGACGAGCCTAATACTGTGCGTATCTTTACCCTACAGCATGCATACATCACAACTCAAGCAATCGACAGGTGTCAATACGTTCTCACAACACCAGCTTTCGATCACATGTCTCGATATGCTCTTCCCTACTGAATAATCCTAGTACTCAGAGTCATCGGTATACAACCGCGTCTGTGGGCTAGGTCTCTTCCCCTCCAACGACAGCCCAGCCGCAACCCTCTCCTCGCCCACCTTGGCCCTCGCCTCCTGCATAATCCACAGCCCAGAACTAGTTCCCAGCCGTGTCGCGCCAGCCTCCAGCATCTTGACTGCCGTGTCCAAGTCCCTGACTCCACCACTCGCCTTGACCTCCATCTTCTTCTTGCCTATTTTGGCCGATGCGAGGTACTCCGCCGCGGCCACCATAAGCTGCACGTTGGGCAGGTTAGCGCCCGGTCCGTTGAAGCCAGTGGATGTCTTGATAAAGTCGAAGCTAGCAGCAGCGGCAAGATGAGATGCAGCAAGGATTTGCGCGGAGTTTAGTTGCGAAGTTTCGAGGATGAGTTTGAGTGTTGTGGGGGCAGGGCAGAGGCTTCGTATGCTAGCCAGTTCTCTGTAAATGGCGCTGTAGTCTGGGATCTCGTCTGTGTCTTCCTCGCTAAAGTCGCTGGCGTTGCTGCTTCCAGCATTCTTAGCCGTGTTGGCAGCGGTGATGCTGTCGATTGCTGAGTCACGAGCACGCTCTAACGGTGGAGAAGCCGGTCGGTTGTGCTTGGTGAGGAGGGAGTAGTTGAGGACGACATCAAGTTCCCTCGCGCCTGCTGCTACGGCGGCACGTGCTTCTCGCAGCTTGTAGTACGTGTCTTGGGTTCCTTCGTGGAAGCCTACAACGCAGGCTACAAGCACGTCGGTGCCTTTGAGGTTGGAGACACAGCGTTGGACATAGTTCAGGCGAACACAGACAGACTGGGAATCTTGTCAGCTTGGGTTCTTCTCGGGAGCGGTGAGGAGTAGCACGTGTCCCAGCTCCAAACTCTAAGGGTGCGACTGTGCCTCATGCGGAAGAAACACCACCAGAACTGCAGAAGCACATACCTTGAAGTTCTCTGTCCTTGCCTCGCCGCACAGCCCATCGATCGTCTTCGTCGTCGCGTCCAACTTGAGTACCGTGTGATCCACCGTTTTAGCCAACTGCTTCAGCGCTTCCTCTCCATTCCTCATCCGCGGGCCCTCGTAAACCTTCCTCGCCCTCTCTCCACTTTCCACCTCTTTGATGACATGTTTAATTGTCTGATCAATCTGCGTTTTCCATTCCTGGTTCGTGAAACGATCCGTCATTATTTCGATGGGGTTCGATTTGTCGTCGCAAAGATCCGGGTTGGCGGCGAGGAAACCGCGGATCAAAACTTCGGATTCCGTCAGAGGGATGGGGTGGGGGTTGTTTGGAGCTCCCGCGCCTGGTGTGGATGAGGTGGACATTTTGAACGACGCGCTTGCAAATGTTTGTTTATTGATCTTGTGATTGTCCACTGATCTATTTTAGTGGCTGTCGAACCGTGAGCCGCGGATGCGCGAGCGAACGAGAGGGCGAGTGGAAGTATTGACGATGACGTGGGGTGGCTTGTTCTCGACTCGTGTCCAATCGTTAATTGAAATAAGCACTTTAGGCGAACGGTTATGCAGCGGCGTTGCCTCCTGGTCTTTAAGATAGAGGTGGCTGTATCGACGCCTATTATGTAGAAATCTTGAAGTTGGCGGAGGTCGGCGTTTTGCTCGTCATGTGGCTGCTTGTAGGGAAGGTGCTATGAACTGGGTAGGGGTCTCGGCCATGCTTCCCCACTTGGAGAGCAGAATCATTCTGCCAAGATTGATGTCCTTCTTTTCTAGGTAAGAAGCACATCTCTTTGCGATACTAGTAAGTGGTGACCGTTTCCATTCCACGCGGGGTGGTACAGTACCCGTATACAACCTGATATTCAGTGTAGACGGAACTTGATCACGTTCAGTGTACAATACATAGACATAGAACTTGCGCGTGCATGTTGTTCACAAGTTGATTTTGAATCACTTCTGTATGCGAAACGAGTGTGAGGAATTGACGCTTGATTTACAAAGGACCGCTAGCATGCGTAGGTATCCTCGATTGCAAGCCGGTCCTCACCTCGGACGACTGATCCAAAGGCTCTGAAATGCTATCTCTCCTCCCACATGCATGTACATGAAAGCTGAAAGACCATGCCGAACAAAAGGAAATAGATTCGAGGAAAAGGGTGGTCCATCAGCGCTGAGATATCCGGAACTCCCGTTTTTGTGACTTTTGCATTGACTCGAGTCGAAAGATCCCTCTTCTATCCTGCGGTCGAGTCGATCGGCGCCAATGAGATCTACACCCCTAAGCCATGATAGTCGTCATCGTAACCCATCAATCCCCGCTGTCATCACATCGACGAATCGTCTACTTCCTTCGGAAAGAGCAGCCCTCGGTCAACCGCGCCTTGCCACCAGTTGGCTGGCACCTGTGAACGCGTTAGCCCATGCCCTGTATCCATATCCATTTGTCCCAAACTTACAGGACCTGCGAGCAGCCCTGGCAGACGACGACTGTGTTGGCGTGCGAGAAGACGGTGGTGATGGTGAAGCATCCGGGGCACTTGACGTCCATGAAGAAGGAGCGGGGAGCGGGCACGAGGGTCTTGAGCTTGTGCTTGCGGGCCTCACTACACGCTTGTTAGCCGCAGGTCGGGGGCGAAAGGGCGGGATTGTATGCGTACGCGGCCGGGGAGGGGTTGAGAAGGTCAACTGCGAGAACCTGGGATACTGTTAGTCCAAAGTCCTCATTGAGATAAAATTTGCGCAGGGCGAGGCGGCGAGAGGTTGCGAATTGAAGATGCTGTGGCAAACTCCGGGCGTCTCGTGTGCCTGCTCAGAATCCTCTCGCGCAGCCCTCCAGACCCTCGGGAACTCGAACTCACCATTGTGACGATTTATGGAGAGTCTTTTGGTTTGGTTGATTGTCGTTGATGGCTTGTCGATGATTCGGGCGCGAAAGTCACGTAGTTGAAGGGGGGGGTTGAGAAATGGATTCGACCATTGTGCACCAAGCGAGCTGCGCTAGTGGATCTTGGCGGCCCGTGCACACTTTCACCAGGTCTCACTTCCCCGGATCAACATAACTTCACAATGCTTCACAAGATTTCAGTTTTTTTCTTAACACTGCTGTTCTTTGACTGCACTACGGAACGTTTGTGTTGTTGTGCTGCGTGTTGTCCAGTCTATGACGAAAGCTCGCTCCAGAGCGGCAAGATGCCCACGTGAACTAAACATGAGCAGACTGCCACTAGGGGTGGCTACATTTCGCGATGCTTTGTACAAAGATTGTATAAGAGTCGATGTATACATTACCTTCGAGGCTATCTACTTGTCAGGATTAATACCATGTATGCTGCAAACTGCGACACATCTCAAGCCACCCGTGTACTCTTGGCCGCTCGTCTTTGAGAATAGTGAAGCAGCTAATTGCTGACGAGCCCTTCGTTCGGGGCCTTTCCAATCTACAACGTCGAAATGAAGTGAATAGTTGCAATTGAACTGCATGAAGCTATACCACATCCATTGCTTCACCTCTGATTGCACGGCAAAGTGCATCTCCAAAACTAAAAGTAAACGAACATGTCCCAATCGGACCGATTCGCAGGTATGATGCATCCAAGCACACGACACGAGTGAGCTTCTCAAGGCAAAAGTTCGGGAGAGCTCTGACTGGTCAGAAGTCGTGCCGCGGAATCTGTGGAGCACTTTGACCGGGCAAGTGAGAACAGCAATCGCAGACTCTCTGTGTGGTCATTTGGTCTAGCTGAACTCGACTGAGCGCTAAAGTGCGAGGTATTGCCCCATTGCATCTGGGGTGACTTCCCTTTTACCCCACTTAGCGTCATTTCCAAGCTCGTCGTACATCGTGTAGACAGCGATTGCATATAAGTACGAGGAGGAAACAACAAAGAGTGAAAGAATAAACGATTCATCCAAATCACCGGCGATTTGTGTCTCAATATGGCAGCACAGCGAAAGAACACGCAAGAGATAGAGAAGGCGAAGAAGCTCAACCATGTGCCCTGGGACGAGGAGTACGAGAAGATGATCTCGGGTATGCTGTATGTATACACATTCTACTGTCTGCAATGAGTCCAAACTACATCACTGCCTTCTCTTAAAGAAATAAACATGCACACTTTTGGAGGGGAAACCCAGATATCGTGAAGCCTACATCAACGCTAGATGCTCCTCTCTACCTAGCATTGTCTTAATGTAGACTGCAGGCAAATGTTTTCATACCGTAGGATACTAACACAACCCCAGCTACAACGCCTTCACCCCGTCCCTAAATGCCGCCCGCTTCAAAGCCCGCGCCTTCGCTCAAAAATATAACACATGGTTCCCCGACCCCGCCACAACCGACGAAAGCAAGGGTTTCGACATCCTCGCCGCAGAGCGCCTGAAGATGCTCAAACAGATTATCGGCCATGTGGCTGACGATGAGATCTTCATTGAGCCCCCTTTCAACATCGACTACGGCTGCAACATTTCCCTAGGCGAACGTTTCTACGCAAACTTCAACCTGACTATTCTGGATTGCTCGCTCGTCACCATAGGGAACCGGTGCATGTTCGGCCCTAATGTTTCGATTTTTGCGGCGACGCATGAGATTGAAGTGCAGTCGCGACGGGACAACATCGAGTATGGAAAACCGGTTGTGATTGGTGATGACTGCTGGATTGGGGGTAATGTGGTTATTCTACCTGGAGTTACGATTGGCAGGGGAGTCACAGTAGGGGCTATGAGCGTGGTGACAAAGGATGTACCGGATTTTTGTGTCGTCATGGGACAGCCGGCGAAGGTGGTTAAGAAGGTGGCAGAAATTCCGGCGGAGAAAGGCGATGTTATGGCTTCTTAGGAGCTTGAGCTTCGATAAAGGGAGTACATCTTTCAACGGACACAGCATCACTTAGGTTCCACGATAGTATGATGTGAAGAGCGTGAGCTGTTGATTGTGTTCTATCCAAAGTGACTTCCAACTCGCCCTGAAAGTGCAGTCAACTCAGCTCATCTATTCGAGAAGCTCTCGCTACCGGGAGAGTAAACGCATGTAGACCCCGCCAAACCAAAGAAAGAAGTGAAGAAAGTCAGCACCGAAGCTGGACTGGAGCAAACATGTACAATAAAAGTATAAAAGCGTTGAAGCGTATAAAAGGGATCGAGGGGAAGGTCTATGCAGGGAGCACTACTCGCCAATGCGCACTCCCGTCCTGAGTATGCGTCCTATCCAACCGGACTTGGACCAGCACCAAACAGTTTGCCACCTTTTCCTGAGAAGCATAGAACGAGCAATGGATGAAGATACGAAGGATGTTAACGATGCGAATATGAAGGCGGTGGTGCTATCACGAGAAGTGTGGGGTGGTGCGCGTCTATCCAGAGATGAAGTAGCGTTCGATTTGGCCGAGTAGTTTGTGGTGGAATGCGGTCGGAATCAATGGCGGGAGTGTTGTGTTGGCCTAGAGGATTGTGCAACCGCCGCTCTTGTCTTTGCTAGTCTTGACTTGCAGAGCGACGCGGGCGGCTTCAGTAAACGCCTCGTTCACACCTCTATTCTTCATAGCGGAACATTCTACACCCGTTAGATATCTGTTAGGGTTCCGAGACGTGGCTTGGCTTACCCAGGTACCGCAGTGCCTTGATCTTCTCCGCTACGCGCAGACCCTCGTTGTAGTCGATGCATGGCTTCTCAGGTTGCTGGTCGTCGGCGTCGTCGTCCTCCTTCTTCCGCAGGTCACACTTGAGTGCCACTAGAACGAGCTTAACGCCGGGGCAGTTCTCTGCTATTTCGCCGACCCATTTCGTTTCTACGTTCTCGAGCGAGTCCGGTGAGTCGACCTGTGCCGTGTGAGTTGCGAGTTGAACAGCATGATGTCGGATGACCGTACCGAAAAGCAGAGCATGATCGCGTGCGTGTCATCGTAGCTCAATGATCGTAGCCTATCAAATTCTTCTTGCCCGGCGGTGTCCCATAAGCTGAGCTCAACGTGTGTGTTGTCGATGTAGATGTCTGTCGCACCGTGTCAATCGTGTTTGTAGAACTTGCAGATAGGCGCACAAACCGTGTACATAGTTCTCTGTAGTAATTGTTAGCGACACGAATAGATAGTGTGAGGCGCGCCCTTACCGAATACTGTGGGCTCGCTGAGAGGGCTTCATTAGCCTCATTCGTATCTCAATACCAGGCACAATACTCACTATACTGTTGGAAAGTAGCTACCACAAAATCAGCAAGCTGCGGAGATGGCACGATAGCGATGTTACATACCCTCTTGTGAAGACATTAAGTAATGAGGTCTTGCCGCATGCACCGTCACCGCTGGAAGTACGTTAGCTTGTTCTGTCGCATCACGCCTCGGTCGCCCAAACAAAGAGGCATCCCCGCATGTAGCAGACGTACAGAAGCACCAGCTTGCGCTGCACAGACTTTGTTCCACCGCACATGGGCATCGTGAAGGTCGGAAGGAGAGTCGGCGATTGGGTCGTGTCGTCGGCTCAGGGACGAGAGGCGCGCGCGCGTTGGTGCAACAAAGGACGACGGTCGCGGTCGTGGCAGCGGATGTGATGAGGACGAGAGGGAGAGTCGCACCGGAGACTGGTAACGGATGATGATAAGGATGTGTGAGGTAGGAGGGAAGCCGGGGGGGATCCAGATGCTGGGCTGGAGATGCAAGCGATGGATGGATGGAGTTGAAGATCCACACGTCGCTAAGACTAAGCCCGAAAGGTCGATTGGCACTGCTCACCTCCGCGACCACTCCACGGCTTTGACGCTATCCATTTAGCAAGCACCACGGACGCGGGGCGATGTGTTTGCCGGCTGGACCAAACAAATATTCGCCCAAAGTCATCTTAGAGAGCTGTCAAACTTATTAGTGTTCCTGGGGAAACGGCCGCGAGCAAGTGCCAGCGACAGAACCTCGGTGCACAGGCAGCAAGGAAGAATTGATCGATGAGACTAACATGACGGCCAGGACCGTGAACCGAGTTAAGGGATCTGCTAGTGACGGCGAGTGGTTGAGAAGGGATCTGGGATTCTGGGATAAGAATGCCCGGGGTCTGAGCCTTCTCCACAGCTGGAAGCCGGACCGAAAAAAGAAGGTCGCGAACTTAGCATATGCTGTCTAATGCCTCAGTCGCAGGCCTACTGCACGCCACTATGCTCGAATATTGCACAGCCTCGTACAGACTCTGTGCGACTTTGAGGCTTCATAACTGTTCATGTTCACAACCGGAGATTTACTCAAACGTCGGAGTGTTAGATTCATCATTGCGTCAGTGCGCCGGGAGATGAGATGGAGGAGCCGGGAAATGGCTTGGAGCTGGAGCCGATTGCTGTAGGAACCAAATTGATCACAGGCACAGATCGTAATGACGTAGTTGTGCAATGTTGATAGGAATTTCGAACGCGCAGTCTCAAGACCGCCTGATAGATTCCTTCAGAGAGAATGGAGTGAATGTTGCGATGCATGTCAAGGATACTGCAGCTGGCTGCGTCTGGGAGCTTAGCCCCGCGAAAGTGGGGCTCTTCCGCAGGCACCTACCGCCGCCTCACGTAGGCAAACAAGT